GCAATTGAAACGAACAATTTGGTTCAGGATGTGGGTGTGCGATTGTGTGGCATGACATTCAACTCCTTCGCCCATGACTTTCCATCAGAGTTGCGGACTCGAGGAACAAAGCATAGCATATCACATAGCATTTACGCGACAATATCACACGAGCATACACGCTTTAGCCGCAATTAACTTTCACGCGGATGAGACGATTGTGTTGGCGTGGACACATGCAGCGGTTCGGAATATAATGTGCTTCATGACTGGTAACAATGAAAAGTGTTAATCTGTTCGCATCATTGTGACCCCGCCATCTTATCGCTAGGCTCAGCCCCTAGACACTTTCGCTGCACCTCCCTTACCTATGTACAGCACCGACGCGATTGCAAGAGACAACTGGTCACATATTGCACATCGGCTTCTTAATGCAGAAAGTGCATTATAAACCTTTTGCGATGCGTTGCATGACAATCGGACAAACTTCACACGTGGTGTGATGACCTTGTACCTCAGGCTGGTACAAGGTCAGTATCAAATCTCGACGCTCGTGTCATGCCATCCTCAGGGTACTTTGTGAGTTTTTACGTATGAAAAAATCGGAAAGCAAATGAAGTCCGCTGAATACTAAGTTATGACTGATATGGAAGCATTCGGTTCACGCACACGTCGATCCGTTATGAGCATGAGCTGTGATGGCAGTCGGCCTATTTCGGGCACTCACGTGCTATAAACACATTGCAGTATTTTTCTATCGTCATTTGATTTTGTTTTTTGTTTATATTTTGTCTATTTTTTTCTGCATATTTGACACGTGGAGTCCGAAGCACTGGATTTCTTGCGCCGGAACGGACCGCCAAAAGTGCATTTCTTTCGCCGGAGTGGATCGCCGAACATTTGAATGTCTGCCGAATGTCATGTATTTGCCGATCACTTGATGCCAGTGGCGTGCATGGCTCGCCATCGTCGACCAGTCGCCGCTGTGAGGCGCGACTTAACTCGCTATCACACGCAGTTGTAGTTGTTATATGTTTATGGGTACAAATCACGCACACTGCACATCCCAGGACACACGGGGAACCAAGCCAGCGTAAGCCTCACTGAGTGGAAAAGTGAGACTCTGATCTGAAGATAAAACAGACGGCTTCCACTCCGATCACATGACAGTTTTCAGGAATGTCCATGTGACACGTCCTCATGAGAGCCTTTCAGGATCACCAGCATCACGTTCGCACGATGAAAATGGTACTTTGATCGACATTATAACATGATACTTATCACCTTGAAAAGGGTCTGTCGAAAAAAACATCTAAAAAATCCCTTCCTTGAGTATTGTTTTGTATAATCTCTAATCTCGCGGACAGCCAAAGCAGGCGAACTCTGCCGCGAACGCCACTAACACGGTCATCCACAGCGCCACATATTTCACCAACGACTGGAAATGGAAGCTTTCGTTTTACAGCCATGCTGCAGCACTATATGCGTACACTGCTTGCCGAGGAAGACCTAAGACACCCTACATGGACGCATGGGAGTTGCATGAAATATATGAACCAACGTCTTGCTTCCATGACCTGCCCTTTAGTCACCATCTGTGTTCATGCTTCTACGCTTTGCCACTAAAGCATCGAGGCTGGGCCCACCCCTCGGAGTTAGTAGCGCGCCTAGGGTAGCATGTATCGGCCCGGTGCAAAACTCCACACATCGAACATTCCTCATCACGGTGGACGATTGATAAAATATATGCGGAAATCGTTGTTAAAGGATTGGCGACTGTACAGCGACCTTGCAGACGGCCACATCAAACATGCAAACTGGTCAGATTGTCTCTTGACCAGTGCTTGTGTCTCTGCCTCTAGGGACGGACGATTACTTTTATTGCCAAAACCTTGTACGAAACGTTCCTCGTCGCAGTTTTCTGTTGTAACTTGACCACTGCGCCAATTGTACTTCAATGTACTATGAGTATTCACATGTGTTGGACGCCAAAAACCGTGAGAGGGGGTCACAGCTCGCAAAAGAAAACCCGCTAAAAAATCACCATCGCCCACCGACTGTCTGGCTGAGCGCTGTGGGTTAATAAGCATCCATGTCTCAGAGGTTAATAGGCACCACTCAGTACACGCCTCCGCGGCGCCGCCAGCGGCTGGCGGCCGGGCCTCGGTGGGCGCTGCGTCGTCTCGCCGTCCGTCGTGCGCTCAGCAGAGGTGCAGGCCAGGGCCGCGGTCGTGCGCGCGGCGCACGCTGGCGTGGAAGGCGGCGAACGTGGCGCTGCCGGTGACTGCGCCCACCTGGGCCGGGTTGGTGCGCACCGTGTGGACGGTGAACTGGGCGCCGGGCTCGCCGGGACCGGTCACCTCCGTCTCCACCAGGTGTCGGTCTGGCAGGCTGCCGACGGGCGGCATCGGTCAGCGGCTGACTCCCGGGCCGCACGGCACAGGGCGGAGCAGGCCACGGGGTCTCGCGGCACCGCCACGGCAGGTCAGAACACCTGCTAGTCATAAGCGTGGAAAGCCACAGCAACGTCTCTGAGCTGGACCTGGAGTCGGTAACCACGTTGACCTGACTCCACCTGCCGATCAGACGGGGTCGGTAATGAGGTTGACCTGCGGTGAGTGACGAACCCGAAATTTACGCGCCTGACTGAGGTGCTCCACCAGCCTGGCCAGGGGTCCACCCTCAGCCTGACCCGGGTTCCACCCTCAGCCTGACCCGGCGTCCACCCTCAGCCCGACCGGGGTTCCACCCTCAGCCTGACCCGGCGTCCACCCTCAGCCAGACCTGGGTTCCACCCTCAGCCTGACCCGGGTTCCACCCTCAGCCTGACCTGGGTTCCACCCTCAGCCTGACCTGGGCCGACAGCCAGCGTGACCTGCAGCCAGCCATCGGGCTGACCTGTCATCCGGCATCGCTCCGACCTGAGGCCCTCACCATCCGCCACCCTAGCCCGCGATCAGGGACCCGCCTGGCCCGGTCGGCCTCCCGCTGACCTGGGGTCGGCGATCAGCCGGCCGATGACGCCGTCGAAGCCGAGGTTGTGCGCCGCCAGCGCCGCCGCCGCCATGGTGTTGACGTTGTGCGGCGCCTGCGGGCACAGCTCGCGCACGGGGCCCTCGTACAGGGTGACAGCCGACTCGGTGGCCGTGGCCGCCAGCTCGGCCAGCCGGCCAGACAGTCGGAAGGCGGCCGGATGCTTCCGCATGGTCACGCGCAGACCCTGCGGCCAGGCGAGGGTCGTGCGGCAGGTCAGGGGGGGGGGGGGGGCGGCTGGCGCGACGGCCAGCCATCGCGCGCTGACAAAACGGCACGATCGGCAGCCCAACCACGGACGGGCGGAGGCCCTGGGACGCATCACACGATCAGAGTCATAGCATCGGAGCGACAACGCACAGACATCTGATGCTCGGTGGTTTACATATTCGGTGGATCTGCGCTCCGAGCATCGCAGGGTCAGCAATTCAACGACTGAGTGGTCAAAAGCCCTACAAAAACCAAGGCCAGCATGCTGACAACATCGAGGGTCGACTGGTGTCGTGGAGCAACAGGCGGCCAGTGCCCCCCCCCCCCCCCATACACAGGGGGGGGGGAATAACTTGACGGCTTGCAGGTCAGCCAACGCAATCCGAAGGCAGGTCAGCACTTGGACACCGAGAGGCCAACTCCCTGATATATAAACAGGAACACGCCGACAGGGCCGCGCATTACCATCTGTAAAGTAACGGTCCACGGGCGCATGCTTAGGACATTGGTGGCTACGGATATCCCTCGTATAAACAAGCCGACGACGCCTGGCATACTCAAATAAGCAGGCCGGCGTGGAATGAGACGGCGTCGTCCCACCCGGCAGTCTGCTCTAGACGGCCGGTGAGCATGAACGTAGAGGAGCGTACAAAGAAGACAGGCTGCATGATCTTGATAGCTGCCGTACCAAAGCGATCGAACCTCGCGGATGCCCTGATTTGTATGGCGCCTGTCTTCTTGCCACATCCATATTTACGCTGAGGTTCTGCGAAATGTTGGCTTTTACATGGGGCTGATGGATTCCTGGGTATTACCCGCTGGCACGTCGCGCACGTCTGCGTCTTAGTTCATATCGCTGCAGCCGACGATACAGAAGACACTGACTATGGTGCCAGTGCTTCAGACATTCGGAATGAGTTGAGTTAAAAGAGCCCTGTATCGCCTCACAACTTTATGTTCGCTCAACGAAAAAACAAATGGCAAAGCATCCAAATGGGATAGTGTCTTTGGTAAATAAGTCCATTTAAGGCTACAAACTTTCAGAATAAGCTCATCGTTAAGTTAGAAGTTCCTGACGAGAATAGCAACGCGATGAATCGGGAAAGTATGCCGCAACGTCTCTTTGCCTATCTCAAAACATTTTTCGGTACCCTCAAATGCTTTAAGCCATCAAGGCTGCATCAAGGCTGCATGACTTGCTCGAGAATCGTGACACGGCTCGCAATGCTTTGAAGTGATGCAACGAGACCATTTGTTTGACACAGCACACAGATCAGGTCATGTGCTTTCTACAGGCTTGCATCTTTCCAACCCAAAACAAAAGCCATTGCTGGTTTATAACAATAGCTTAACGTTCCGAAAGCACAACAGCGTCAATTCGCGATGCAGCGATTCTGTCGTCATACGTTGAAATAATTTCGCACACGGACGGTCCCGGTACGACACCACATGACAGACATTGCCGACCGACTTTAAAAATGTCTATGTTTTTTAAAATGCGCTCGGTTCATACCATCTCAAATGCAGGGAACCCGGTCGCAAGTCAAAATACTACGTGTTGTTAAGTGTGGCACGTTATGGAAGAAATTTGCCAACATAACCTACTGGCCGCCATGCTAGTTATCGCGGCTTGGAAGGGGGGGGGGGGCATAGAGGGTTTTAAATATTCGATATCTTGCTTAAAAGCGCAAGTACAAACGTGTGTTAAACATACGTCATAGATCATCATCAGCATCGCCTACACGCATGCCGACAAGCGGAGGGACCCCGGCCGTCCAATGCACAGGAACGCTCCCGCCTGGCTCGCTGGTCACGTGACCTAGCGGGTCACATAACGTGGTGTCTGGTGGCGACATCGAGAACTCGCATCCGTTCGGAGCCGCATGACTCCGCGCGGACCGCGGCCGGGGTCGATCACGTGTCAGGGGTGGTCTGTGAGACCGGAGCACAGCCAGGCAGCAGGGCTCCGCGCGGACCGCCGCCGGGGTCGATCACGTGTCAGGGGTGGTCTGTGAGACCGGAGCACAGCCGGGCAGCAGGGCTCCGCGCGGACCGCCGCCGGGGTCGATCACGTGTCAGGGGTGGTCTGTGAGACCGGAGCACAGCCAGGCAGCAGGACTCCGCGCGGACTGCGGCCGGGGCTGATCACGCGTCAGGGGTGGTCTATGAGACCGGAGCACAGCCAGGCAGCAGGGCTCCGCGACATCAGCCTCCACTCGGCCGGATCTTCAGCGCATGCGTGTGGCGCGGGCGCTATCGAGAAGCGTGGACCAGAACGGCTCTCGCGTAAGCTGCATGAGATGACAACGCTTGATGGAAAATATCCCTGGCTGTCATTCTTATTTCTTTCTAAAAGATGCCATGATGACACTGTGCCAGGAATATTCTGCTTGTCTATTAAGCCACGAATCGTTTCTCGAATCCTTCAGTCATTTGGCTTTAGGACGCCTAAGGGTGACAAGGGGGGGGGGGGGGGGTTAAGCAAATACAAACGTTATTTCGGGAGCCTTCGCGGGTCAGAGCTCAGCGGTCACCTCACTTACTAGCCAACATCCGTCCATTGGCGGGTGCCCTACACTCTTTGTCCCGTGGGCTGTGGCGATAACGGCTAACCGATTATTGCGACGAAGACGGTTTTGCCGAGCGTTTTGATGAATGGTCACATATGATATTCAAACCTGCCATAACGGATTTACGGAGTGCCAACTCGTCAACGGACTGATGGAACAACTCACTGCCAGGTCTTGCCCGTGGGACGGCCATTAGTCTGTGACATGTGTCAAATACAAAGTAAAATGACACGCATGCTTTTTCGAAAGTCGGATAGTTCGTTATTTGGCTTGAAAGGCTGCCAACCGCAATGATTTTTGAGCCTCAAAAGTCGGGTAATAAATTCCACAAATCGGCGAGCATGGGGACCACTGAAAGAAGTCAGGTTCAAGAGCTGGCATTGTCACGTTCCCTGGGCAGGACATGTAACCTGTCCAGAAAGAGCCTGCACAGAGATGGAGATGCCAAATGCTAGGGCCAGGACGTACCTGCAGAATCCCGAGGTCAGCCATCTTCTTGATATCCTCGCCGCCCCAGAAGGCACCAGAGGGGATGTAGATGGTGTGGTTGGAGGTCAGCGCCACATCCAGCAGGCAGCTCTCCAGGTGGTGGTCAGCCAACGCCGTGGGAGAGCCGATCATGTAGTCGCACGTGGACAGGAACAACGTCCCATACTGAGGATACAGGTGGCTGGCTGCTTACAAAAGAAGGTAACTAGCTGCCACCAGTCACAGCCATGCATCACAAATAGCCCTCTGCTTCAAGGAGGATATGCATAAGCTGTGGTTAAATGGTGGAAGATCATTGTAAATGGCAAAGCAGCTGGCAAACAGGAATGGCATGATTTTGTATTAACTTGATTTTCCATTGACTAGTGACTATGACACATCTGACAAGCCTCCATCACTGTCTTTACAGTCTTTCTGACAATGGCTACCAATATTTGCATGACCTTTCTGACAATTGCTTCCTGGTGCTCATACACCCCAGCAACAAACCCAAAAGCACATCAACCATCATAATCACTTAGTTGGTAAAGTGGACAGCAAGGTCAATGACAGTGACATCTTACCTATCTAGTGATCTAACAAACATGTTTTATATGTACAGTGATATTGGTACCCACTTGAACAGTGATTGAGGGATGAGCCACCTCCACAATTAGATCTGGTGACCTTTCCTTGACATCCTTCAGGTCATCAAGGGCCAAGGAACCCAGTGGTGCAAGAACTTCCTTAGCCCTATTCCACACAAAAACAATCTCCAGAGATGGCTCATGTTGAATTGCATTGTAAATGCTTTGGCCTGAAACAAATAAAACACAGTTCTTACAGACAGTGTCATTATTGTTACCCATACATCCTTCACAACATCTGTGCCAAAAAACCTTCATCCTTGCTTGCAAACAAACACAAGACTGACTTCAAACACAGGCACCAGTGTATGAAAGGAAGGATGACTGGCTGCATAAGAATACAGGCTGAATGAAATGCATGACAATGGCTAAAAAGGGAAACAACATAAAATAATGCTACAACTTGAGCAATAAATGCAACTCAGCTTCATGTTCAGACCAGAAAGGAAAAGGTCAGACTACATGAAAAGACAATAATACATGCAGCCCAGGGTCACCAGGTAATCCAGCTTAGTTGCTTCTATCTGTCCACATTTTTTACAATAAAGTTGCTTGCATGGGTAAGGAAATTCAAGTTCACTTTCCAACAGTTATCAGAAGTGCTTGTGAGGCAGATAGGAAAAATCAAGGCTCAAAATGCAATGAAAGATAACAAAAGGGGTTCCAAAACTGGTGTCTTTTCAAATAGATAATGTATTGCAGTTCACATTCCAAGTAATTTTATATTACCTCTTAATGTGAGTGTCTTTTCCACAGTAAATCCAAAAAAAATTTTGGCCTTCACTTCACTTCATTAGGAGTTCAATCACACTCAATATTGTTTTTTATCATCATAATATATGACACCAGTTTTGTTTTCAAAGCAAAAACACAAATGGTAATGTTTCAAATATTTTAAATTTACTGTGGTTGAAGCCTTTTTGGAAAATTTCAGCATGCACCATATTCTTGACAATACCAAACCAAAAAGCTTTAAGGGAGGCCAAACCCTTTTAAGCATCAGAACAAAGTGCTGTAGTGCTTCTGTAATCATTCACCTACCAAGAGCGAAAACAATTTTGGAGTTTCTCTACCTACAACTCACCCAGGCTTCCAAAGCCCACAATTCCAACACGCCTTCGAGACATCATCCTTGCAGTAGATGAATGGAGGGCTTACTTGCGGCTCGTTTGAACTTCTTCGCCTCAATGTGTGTCTATAGCACAGCAACAGCGCCACGCCCCCTTCCCCGCCACAACTCCTTTACAAATGTGGAGCTCTGGATCCAGGCCAAGACCTTCACATTGCGCTACATTTGAAATGGTCGCGCCATTCACCACAACACATTTTAAGCCAAGAGTGTTTCAAACCACATTATTTTCGTTTTACTTTCTTGCTTATTCATCAAAAAGTAAAAAATGTGATGGCGTTTTAAATCCAGGGAAGATATTTTTCTATAATTTAGTCGAATTATTACAGAATTAAATTCAGATCCATCACAATGCCTTAGCCCAGTGAATCAGTTGCCTAGCAACCAGAAGCCTACAAATGTAAATAACAAAAACCTCAAACATGGTGACTGCTGCGCCCCAAAATAACCCCGCGGACTCACATTTGTGTGGCGAAGTGGCTTTGAACCGAGACAATTCAATTATTTGTACGTGTGCAGCGTTCGGAGGCATCGGTTTGTACACGCGCAGAGGCATAGCACGCTAAGAACCATATTCTTTCCCTGCCGCGTAGGAAGAAATGTGTGCAAAGTCCGTCTGTCCGTAGTCCGTAGAGGTAGAATTTTCATTTTATACCTCTGTACTGCATAGGTATGCTTCTTTCCTTTCACTGGTGGGCGGGCTCGTCTTAGCTTCGTCCATGTTATATATTAGTACCTTATGCTAAACAAGGGCATTGTACATCATTCGTCGTTTTTAAGGCAGACCATATCGTAAATAATCGTAAAACAGGTACATATATACCCTTACCTTCGAACTCAAGCAATTACGACATCCAAGCGCCGCGAACACACAGTGACCGCTACCCCGGCTCCGTGGCTACATTATTGGTGCGTTGTCACAACATTACTGCGTATCAAAAACCATAAAAATATATGGGGCCAAAGCAACAACAATGCGATGAAATATATTTTTTTGTGTGTAAAAGCAGTCTTCCGCACTGTTTGTAGATTGTTCGACATGGGAGGGAGGGGGGGGAGCAAGTATGATGCCTTAATATGTTGGGAATATGACATGAAATTTGATCTTCGACGCCAACGGGGCGATGAGGGATTGGCAGATGAGAGGGGGGGGGGGGGGGCCTCATCCGTGATGGCAGGGATGAGGCAGAGGGATTGAGTGGTGAATGAAAAGCGAAATGAGACCATGCGGCCAAATAAAACTTGTTAATGCGGTGCATATATATGGCATGGAACGTGGACGCCAAGAACATGGAAGTGAACAAGGAAGACGCGCTGTGTTGAAGGGGATAGGGTGAGGAGATCAGCTCAGGAGGAGGTTAGGCTAGGTTAGGTACGAATGATGTATAATGCTCTTCTAACATTAGTTCCCAATGCATACCTACACTCTCAAAAGATCATTCCCGAGCAGTTCTTGTGAATTTGCATTTGTTACATAAGCTGATTGTTGAGTTATGGCACGCTGCTTGTCTCTACCCGATCAGACGGACATGACCCTATGCGCCCGGAAATTAGGATAGCGGTGCCCCAGAAAGTATGTGAGGGAGAGGGTCATCGCCAATCTTTGAGCATATTCTTCCTATGCATCGCTGTGTAATTTAATTTAACGTTCTCGAAGGGTGAAGGATGCGTGGTTTCTGCCTCCCCCCGTCAGGGGCGCAGCCAGAGCCTTACCAAGGGATGCACAGGGTTGATAAAGGGCCACCCCGAAGCCCCCCCCCCCCCCCAATCGCCAGATATGATGCATTTGCTTCTATATATATATATATATATATATATATATATATATATATATATATATATATGTGTGTGCGTGTGCGTGTGCGTAGGCGTGTGCGTGTGCGTGTGCGTGTGCGTGTGCGTGTGCGTGTGCGTGTGCGTGTGTGTGTGTGTGTGTGTATGTATGTATGTATGTATGTATGTATGTATGTATGAATGTATGTATGTATGTATGTGTGTATGTATGTATGTGTGTATGTATGTATGTATGTATGTATGTATGTACGTATGTATTGATGGATGTATCACACATCATTATCACACATCATCACACATCATTCCATAACAGGAATATAGGCCAGACGCTCCCGTGAAATCGATTCTGCCTTAAGTTTATGGTAGATAAACTGACAAAATCATGCGTTAAATGACTGCATGAAATAAATTGCCGGCGCTATTCATTTTGCAATGTAACTATTAAAAACGGATGGAAGTTAGAAATTCGTCAGAATTTTTATTTTGGGTGTACAGAGAGCAAGGATTCCGCCAATGTAGACTGAGGATCAAAATGAGTCAACAATTTGTATTAGCATGACCAAGCCATGTTTCTCGGGGTATGTTCAACATTCGGTCAAAATTGATAAGTCGTGCAAATTATAAACGTAGTTTTGAGCAAGCGCGCTCGCATATCCTAATAACAAAAGACTCGACACCAGGCGTTGCAGTTTCCGTAGGCCGCGAAGCGTCGGCCTCACGGCTGACATAAGGAGGTGGCCAACAGGTGGACGAAAATGGTGACGCATCTGAAAAAGCACCTTTGGACGCTATTGGACACCAAATCGTACATTTAGAGACATTCCGGGCATATATTTTACCCCTGCGGTTCTTAGATTGATGACAATAACGTATTGGTCTTAACAGTACTGCGAAGTGGTGCGGGAATCTGGTGGTGGAACTGGAAGAGTAGGATAAAATCTCTATTTTCCCTAGTATTGTAACTGTTAATTTGTCCAGAGGACATCCTCAGAGTTATTTTTAAAAATGCCCGGTGTAATCCTTTAACCTGAATCAATCTTGAAAGACATTTAGGAACATCATTTTACGATGGTCGTTGCGCGCTCAGTGCCCGCCCTCTGGCGTTACTTGCAATGGACAACGCCGCTCGGTTTTGCGAAAACTGCGATTTAAGCCATCGCTATCTTTGCTCCCGATACTTTGGCCGTGTCATTGGGGCTCTATGACGCACTCAGCTGCTGGGGCTATATGGCGCCGCCAGGCTCTCACCCTGGCAGGAAGGGCGGGCACCGTGGGGAACCGAACCCCGTGCCTGTGGTTTCCCAGGCGTGCAGTGCTGGCTCAAACCTTTTGATGCTATTTGTTTCTCTCGTCGATTTTGCAAAATGATGAACGTTTTCAGTGAAACATGGGATGATCTCGTGCGTTTTGAACTCATTTCGAACCATTCCATTTAACACTTATTAGACCCCTTATTTTTTCCGATAAAGGGGGTCCTCTGAGTGCAACACTACGGGGGCATATTGTTGTTCCCGGTCAAGGGCTGCAGGGCCATTCTGTCCCACCGCGGTGCGTTTTCCGGCCGTCATTCTGGCGACACGGGGCGGCATCCCCTAGCCGATCCTTACACCCTTAGAAGGACATATCATATTTCATTGGTTCGCTCCCTGACGCGGAAGATCTTCTGGCCCGTGCAGTTGACCCCAGATCGAGGCATGAGCCGTCATTAACGCAGCAACATCCCTGCTCACCGCAGGTGGTCAAATATTTGGCACATAGACTCCATTCGGGCTTAACGGGCCCACGCTCATGCTGGAATAGCATCAGGGGGCCCACCGTTCGGTACTAGGGGCCCTAACTGGCACAGGACTATTCTATTACCTTAGTGTGAGCACTCATTATAAGTTTTCATGTTTTCTTCAATCTCCAGAGGGCCGCGACCAACGCAAGAGAACCTCTGCCATTCGGGCTCCCGTCCCGTCCCTGTTGAGCAAATCTTCGCCTGGCTGATTCGAGGCGCCTTGTTGCCGAAGAATGCCCTGTTAGGCACTGCGGATCCCTGAACGATAAATGACCAATGCAAATCGTGGGTCCGGCCTTGTCTCTGCTTGGGAAATGGGGGCCCAGAGTTCAGACCAACAGGCAGCCGACTTTTCGTCGTTTGTGATCTCTGGTCGATCTATGGTATCTGTGGTCTCTGGTCGAAGGGCTTTTCGGGCCTTAATCGCAGGTTACGAGGAGCCCTTCTAACCCGTCGGAGCCTAAGGGGGTGGGCATGTGCCCCCTGCGCCCCCTGCCTGCGCTACTGGTTTTAATATATACGTTCTAGCCGATAAACGCATCATAGTGTTTTCAGTGATACTGGAGATACAAGTACGAACAGATAGCTGATGCAAATCGTGTGTTCTAATTGCAGTGCCGGCTTTGTTCATCATCCCATAAGTCCTATCGTGTACATCCAATTTACACACGCGTCAGTCCTTGGGCCGCAGTCCGTTATCCTATTTTCCTAACCTTTATCCCACCATGGCTCCAAAACGCAGATCAAAGAAGGGATTCAGCAAGCTATCAGAGGAAGATAAGCAAAAGTTCTTGGAGAAGAAAGCAACCATGGAAGAAGAACAACGGCGTCGAAGACAGGAGCTCCTGTCTATCTTCTTGAAGGTAGACACTTTTGTCGAAATTTGTGAGCATAAAGGGTTCCGAAATGATGCGGCATGATGCAGAAATTCGTCCACGCTTGATAGCAAGCCCTGTACATGCTTTCCATGAACCTCGAATCACTTTTTCCATGAACCTCGAATCACTTTCATGTCGGTCGGTCACGTCCTTCTCTGAAGTCTCAAACTTTTCGACCGTGATATGTAATGATCACGTTACCCATCGTTTATCACGACGTCATTGCATCGTACTCTGTGAAAGCTCTAACTCGTTTCACAAAATTATTCCCTTAGCTAATGCAGTGGTGTGAATCATTGTGGCTTTGAGAAGTGAAGCGTTCATTTTACTAGAACTGAGTGATGGTATTGACTTGTTAGCGCGCCAGACTCGACTCGCACAGTTTTACACGCGGCTGACCAATGACTGAGAATGTATTCTTTTAGTGATGGTCATAACCACATCACGTGAAGCTGTTGTGCTATGCTGTGTCAACAGAGAAATACATTTGCAGATTGAACGAGCGCTGTTCTAATCCGGCGTACCATCCACTTCTCGCTGACTCACTTTTTAATATTTCCCTTTCGTTTTGTCACAGATCAAGTTGACAAAGGAGGAGGAGATGACGAGGACAAACACACATAAACTGAACGACAGGTGGAGAGCGATCATGCGGGATAAAAAGTCTACGGAGCTTCAGGGCGAAATAGAGGTATGTGTCATCTCTAGTGGGGCGGTGACCGTGGCGTGCCGGCCTGTAACCCCTTCCGCAGATTGCGGTCGGATTGTCGAACTGTTACGCGGGTATCAAATAGACATTCGTGGGTCACTGTGTTGTCCAAAGTGGGGCCTGTTGACAATGAGTCCAGCTTGTTGGGAGCACTATAGCCCTTTCGAACTTCCGCGTGTAATTTCGGTGCTTATATCGTGCCGATGTTGGCATATAAGCAGCACGATCATATGTTTAAAAGACTTAAAGCTATCATTTTCAGTGCGGACAGGGGTCTCTAGCCATACAGCAAGGACTAGCTAGGTTCAGTCTTTGTATATGCTATATCTGCTCAAAACGCAAAACTGGCCCAGTCTTTTTAAAACTTACTGGAGTCCGAGCCCACCGAACCCGGAGGACGTTACACCTTTGGGAGAACTCGTGGTTACGGACCACCTATAAATAACGTTGCGTATTTTGGGCCGTTTCCAACCGTTCCTATCCCTGGTTATGCACTGGCCACGCTGGGCGAATCCCCCTCCCGCTGGTAACGCTGCGTTATACGCTACGTCCCAAAACAGTGACGTATGTGTGGCCCCTGATTGAGCTAAAGGTCCAAGACAAGGACAGGTGTGTTGCCTGTCATGATAATATTCCAACGGCATCTGGCATGAAGATTTTAGAGCATTTAAGAACCTAAAGCCTGACTGACAACCCTACATGAGCATACCGTTACGCTGTCCACCCCCTCCCCACATGGGCACACCGCTGCGCTGTCCATCCCCTCCCCACATGGGCACACCGCTGCGCTGTCCACCCCCTCCCCACATGAGCACACCGCTGCGCTGTCCACCCCCTCCCCACATAAGCACACCGCTGCGCTGTCCATCCCCTCCCCACATGAGCACACCGCTGCGCTGTCCACCCCCCTCCTCATATGAGCACACCGCTGCGCTGTCCACCCCCTCCCCACATGAGCACACCGTCGCGCTGTCCCCCCCCCTCCCCCACATGAGCATACCGTCGCGCTGTCCACCCCCTCCCCACATGAGCCACACCGCTGCGCTGTTCACCCCTCCCCACACGAGCATACCGTCGCGCTGTCCACCCCCTCCCCACATGGGCATACTGTTACGCTGACCACCCCTCCCCACATGAGCATACCGCTGCGCTGTCCACCCCCTCCCCACACGAGCATACCGTCGCGCTGTCTACCCCCTCCCCACATGAACATACCGCTGCGCTGTCCACCGCCTCCCCACACGAGCATACCGTTGCGCTGTCCACCGCCTCCCCACACGAGCATACCGTTGCGCTGTCCACCCCCCCCCCCCTCACATGAGCATACCGTTGCGCTGTCCACCCCCTCCTCACATGAGCATACCGTTGCGCTGCCCACACCCTCCCCACACGAGCATACCGTTACGCTGTCCGCCCCCTCCCCACATGAGCATACCGCTGCGTTGTTCACCCCCTCCCCACATGAGCATACCGCTGCGCTGTCCATCCCCTCCCCACACGAGCATACGGTTGCGCTGTCCACCCCTCCCCTCGTCAGCTTTCGGTTATGTTCCATCAAAGATACCTCACCATCCATGCGTGACGTCATACATGTGCAGCCCTTTCGGGACAATTACACACACCCCCATTTGACTGCCAGGGCAGAATTTCGCATCGCGTTTCTTCACATGGAATGCTTCATGATATTGCCTAGCTTCGTCTAGCGTTGACCTGGATGGAAGTTTTCGTGGGCGCAAAACTTTGTAAACGCAAAACTGTACACTCAGAATTTTCGCAACACAAAGCGTTGCATCAGCTTGGTATAATTAAGCACGTCTTTGCGTAATATCTTCGCGCGCTCATTTCTGGCTATCGGGTTTTGTAATGTGCGGCGTTATTCGCTGACGAAATTGTTCCGAATTGCATGTCTTTGCGTACATCACTATTACAGCTTGAATTTGCAAATCATTATCTCATACCATTGGCGTGATTATATGTATGCATTCCAAGAGCACAGAGTAAATTCGTGTACAAAGTGCCTTCGCATACAAAATTTGCAAGTGGATTACATTTAAGTGGTGTTGTATGTTGTGTGCCTTCGTTTGTACATGCTTTTCAAAATCTGCTGCATGTATCATGCACGCCTTGCATACTTTTAGGTCCCCGATAAGCTCATATTTAAACAATAAGCATGCAAACACGCTTGGAGGACATAAGATCCCAAATAAATGTGAGAGCTCACAGTCATTTCCATCGGCCTGCTATTCGGCCTTTAGCTCGGGTTAAAGACAGAAATGGCTTAAACGACATATTGCGGTCTGGGTGCCGCCGTTGAAACTACACTCGCCTTTTGACCATCTGCAACTGGGCTGCCTCCGGACGCTTCAGCCAAGCGGCGACCGTATGGTGTGGAAGCCGATCAATAAGGGGCTTAGGTTTTCGTTTGGTATGGATAAGAGCCATTGTTGTCAGCAATGACCATTTCAGGAGTTTGGGATAAAGGAGAGTGGTGAGGTAAGATTGCGCGCACCTGGGAGTCCCCTGTTATCGAGGCTTACCTCGCACAGGACCTCGACTTCGAGGCTTGCGCGGGTGCCCAGGCGGGACTCCCGCCGGGTGGACGGAGGGGAGGGGGTCTCTTAAGCCCATTCATGGCTGTTGCATGCATGCGGCTTGCCACGGGCGAACTGAGTGTTACGAAAATTCGGGATAAATTGGGTAGTGGGTGAAGAGGGTTGAATGAGGTCAAGAATTACGTCAGTATCTGATGTTCAATGAATTTTAGGGGCAGCGGTTCTTGCAGGCTACACATGGTGAACTGTGGACAACAAAATCAGTACATTTCATGCAAGTCCGCAAACGCATTGCAGCGTGTTGTCAATGACGTTAAACTACTACCTGGCAGGCTTTAGTGACGGATACATGCAGGATTCGCAATGAGCAGAAGAGGGGGGGGGGGGGCAAAGACATTGTCACAGAAAATGGCGTTTAGTGCTCCGCATGCAAATTTTAGCATTACGCTGTTATACAACAGCGTGCCATAAATCTCGGGACGGTGACCAGACATGTGCTGTCCGACGCAGGAGATCAACGACGAAAGTGGCTAGAGCTCAGTTGCGCCGTCTACAACAGAGGCCAGACGTTTTTGAATGGCAAATGACAATGCGTGGGGTCTAGCTGCCAAAAGTTGTATAACATGAAGGTGAAATTAACAACGTCGACGCGTCATGAACAGAACCATACCGCAGATTGTAAGACGGAACGTCCGTTCGAAATCGCCGAGTGCTGGCGTTTGTGGAGGTGCTCACCATGTCCGTGCAACGCTCCGATCGATTCCAAGCAAGAGTGCGTCTTAAAATCACTGTTGTTTGACAGATAAGGCAACTGACGTAAATTGTCTTGGAAAATATTTATTTAGTGCTTACCTCCACTGTCCCCTGAAAGTATATCTAGGTCATTGAACTCCGGCGTCAAATGCTGGCCCAGTTTACAAGGTCACGCCGAGCAACGAACAGCCAATAATACAGCCGGCATAACCATGCCGAAGTCCCCACATCCTCTGACGGCCTGCGTGGCCGCGCCACCTCCGCCAGACGCTTCGCCAGGTGTTCGAGTCTCAGTTGGATAAGCGCGAGGAGACCATCCGCAGGCTGTTCAAGGAGATCGAGGACGGAGACGAGCAGCGCAACATCGCCGTTCGCACCCACATCGAGAACCTGGAGCGGATTATAGGTCAGTCGGCGCGCTCTCTGGCGTCGGCATCCGTCGAGCGGAGCTGCGTCATGCATCCGCAGCCGACGGTGAAGTGCACTGACGCTGAGGTTCCGTTGGATGTCACTGGCAATTTGACCTTGCGCAAGATGTGTTCAGAGATGTATTTCAGCTGTGCGTAAGATGTGTCCAGAGGTGTCGATTAAACCTTGCGTAAAATGTGTTACGAGGTGGCGCACAAAGGTTGCAGCGTGATGTAACACGGGTTACAGGCTAAGTCAAATCATATTTCCGCATATCGCTGTAAAATACCACTGCGGTAATGATTGATTGGAACGCTGGTCTGGTTATTGCTGCACCCGTAAGATAAAAGGTGGTGCTCAGGACAAGGTCAACTGCTTCATTTTCAACTCCTATAATTTTGCATGCATCCTGCTTACTATCAACGCCTACCTGATGTGTCCATCGCACCCGAACATCTGCTCCGTGCATTACTGTGTGTCCTGTCCGTGACCTGAGTGCTGCTGGCCAAGATGGCGTAGTAGGATGGTCAAAGGCGCCACTTCAGCCTGTGCACGATTTTTGTGCGATGACAAGGGACTGCTTACCTACCCTGCCGTCCAGTCGCCGGTGCCAAACAGCCATTGACTATGCCGAACACTCCGACGCTACGCCATCGCACACAAATGTCCTTCCACCACTGAACAGAGCATAGAGCAGACCGTCTCCCGCGCTATAACACATGTCGATACAGTACACAGCGTTTGGCGGGCCCTCCTCAGACCAGCACCGGGGCCACCTGCGCGAGGCGCGCGCCACTTTTGACGAGCGGCTGGGCGCCGTCGGCTCCCACTACGACCGAGAGCTGCGCGGCATTGACGACCTGCAGGACACCGACACGCAGAAGCTGGCCGACATCCTGCACAAGATCGACTGCGACATGTCCGAGGCCGACAAGGAGGCCAGGGCGGAGTTCCAGAGCAAGAAGGAGGAGATCAAGAACAAGGTACGTAGTAAAATTACGTACATATGGACTAACTTACTTGTGGGCTAGCGCGGATTTCCTTACAAGGAAGGGGTGCGGAGCTGCATCACGCCGATTATAAATTTCTATCAGAAGCCGAATATTGCTAAACCAGAAAGGCACGCAAGCCCAAGAGGAGAGAGAGGCCCCCACCCCCATCCCATCCTCGCCCCTGGCTGCGTCCCTGTTACTCGTTAACCATCGCCAGGTGGTGTTTAAAAACCCACGACGTTAAGTTTCACCGCAGCTCATCGTTTTTGGGCCAAAATAATCGGCCTGCACTTTTAAACGTCAACCAAGGTTTTCGCGCGGTTGTGGTCCACGTGACGACCTTTGACCGGGCGCCCCGTCGAGTGTGCGCGCCGGCTGCAGGCGTTCTGCTCGGCGTCATGTCCTGCCAGCTGAAGCTCATATGTCGGCAGCCTCACGGCACTTTTATGTATGTGTACTGAAAGTCGCGCTCATGTGCAGGTGTACATGTGTATCTGTGTTTGGGCTGTTGCAGAACATCGAGTTGCGGCAGGGCTTGAAGCTTATGTGTATGTACTGAAAGTCGCGCTCATGTGCAGGTGTACATGTGTATCTGTGTTTGGGCTGTTGCAGAATATCGAGTTGCGGCAGGGCTTGAAGCTTATGTGTATGTACTGAAAGTCGCGCTCATGTGCAGGTGTACATGTGTATCTGTGTTTGGGCTGTTGCAGAACATCGAGTTGCGGCAGGGCTTGAAGCTTATGTGTATGTACTGAAAGTCGCGCTCATGTGCAGGTGTACATGTGTATCTGTGTTTGGGCTGTTGCAGAACATCGAGTTGCGGCAGGGCTTGAAGCTTATGTGTATGTACTGAAAGTCGCGCTCATGTGCAGGTGTACATGTGTATCTGTGTTTGGGCTGTTGCAGAACATCGAGTTGCGGCAGGGCTTGAAGCTTATGTGTATGTACTGAAAGTCGTGCTCATGTGCAGGTGTACATGTGTATCTGTGTTTGGGCTGTTGCAGAACATCGAGTTGCGGCAGGGCTTGAAGCTTATGTGTATGTACTGAAAGTCGTGCTCATGTGCTGATGTACACGTATGTACACGTTTATCTGTGTGTGGGCTGTTGCAGAACATCGAGGAGCGGCAGGGCTTGAAGCTTATGTGTATGTACTGAAAGTCGTGCTCATGTGCTGATGTACATGTATCATGATGTATCTGGGTATGGGCTGTTGTAGAACATCGAGGAGCGGCAGGGCTTGAAGCTGTTTCTGGAGGGCGTCATCGAGGGCCTCTGGGACCGCTTCCAGAAGACGCTCAGGGCGTACTACGAGGTGTGTGCCCGAAACACTCAGGTTGCATTCTGCTCCATAGTGTGAGCACGAATTTGCGTGAATCCGAGAAGATAGGACAGTAGTATTAGCCTTGCTCCTCGGAAAAAACCAGGAGAATAAAAATATAGTTGGGATGATATATCGACAACATGCCTTCAACATAGCCGAAGTGTCTTGTTTGGCGGACGTGGGGCTGCGGGCCGCCCAGCACCAAACGTCAACTTCTGCTTTGTTTCGATGAAGGCATGTTGCTGAAGTATTAACCCAACTATATCTCCGTTCTCCTGGTTTTTCTCCGAGGAATAAGGCTAATACTACCGTCTTATCTTTGTGAATAATGCTCCTCGCTAATGTAATGAACAACTTACATATATCCGAGAAGGATCAAGAAGATCCGCATTCATTTGTTGTATGAGTCTAGTGTCTAAATGATTGCCGCCTTGCACATGATTGGTCACTTGCGTTTGCTAAACGCAATTCAACTTTCACGAACTGAAGAATTTGTTTAGGTCGTTGTGTTTATTGTAAGTCCTGTGATAACAACACTCTTCACCATGTATGTGGCTCCTACTGCGAAAGTTCGTGTTACCAGGACACCGAGAGTCGGAGAAAGGCCTTCTACGACCTGAAGGCCCGCGAAGAAAACTCTGTGGAGGTGATCGCAAATCAAAGCAAGAAAATACAAAATCTACAGGTCAGTCTGTGACGTGCGTGATGCAATTTTTACCATGACAGCATCATGGACCGTGACTGGGATATCGCCCTGTTGTGAGAGTATCGCGACTGTTTTGGCATGGGCCGAGCTGACGTGGTTGTTTGCGCGACTGAAAAATCCAACTTTGAGTCTCCTGATTTCGAGCCGACTCCATCTTCCTCCCCGGTTACGACCGAACGCGCCGCACGACGTACCCCATTAAGTCCTCAGGCAGATCCCAGAGTGTTCCCTGCCGACTGTTGCCGACGCCCGCCGTGTGTTCGCTGGTGCATCGCATCCAAGACACATCGAAGAGCAGCTGCGCTCCGTTGGTGCGCCGGGAGTGTGACGGGGCGTGGCCGGCGGCGCCGCTACAGGAGGACATAGGCCGGCTGCGGGCGCGGCTGGCCGGTGGCGCCAAGGAGCACACGCGCCGCACCAGCAGCCTGAAGGAGGACCGCACCAGCATGAAGCTGTACCTGCGCCGCGTCAAGACCGATGTGGCCGCGCAGCGCCAGCTCGAGGATCACAGGATGAAGCAGCTGACCGTCATCACCAGCGAGGTCATCAAGGTAGGGCGGCGGGCACACGCGCGCGCCTGCGTCTGATCGCCGGTTGGGATGGCGCTTGGCCGTGGTGGGATGAGGATTTTGTTCGATTACGGAGTGAAACGTCTGCCGCTCTTGCTACATCCTGTTTGCATTCGCACTGAGCGCTGTGCGATTGGTGGGCACCACAAAAGGTTTTATTAAACTAACTGATGCTACCCGTAGCGTCTAGTGTTAATCACACAGAAGCAGCTGGGGATTTACGGGAGTTACAGAGCCTGTAGTTTGGCAACACTATCTGTCTTTAAAATTGACTTCAAAGACCTGAAGGATTTCCCCAAAATGGTTGGGTCTCAGACTTATGGGATTGTTCAGGATGTGTGAACCATTTGCGGAGAGCTGACAGTGTTTTCCCGCATGCGGGCTGACAGCAGCTTGAGCTTCGAGAGCGGGAAGCTGACCAGATCATGAAGCTGTCCGAATGCTGTCGAAAACTGGAGACGGAGGAGCAGAAGATCATGCCGTTCAAAGAGGCGCCGCTAACGCCGGAGGAGCAGCGCGCGCTGGAGGCGGCCATGGAGGAACCCAGCGACGAGCCGCTAGCAGAGGTACAGCTGGCACAGGCCGCCAGCCGACACGCCCCTGACGAGCGCTAGCGGAGAGACGACACAGAGGCCACCGGCAGGGGTACAGTCACTGGCGGCTGGCGAACCGCCGGCGGAGGGGCCTTGACACTGGTCGCTGGCAGAGAGACGTCAGATTGGTCCTTGCCAAAGCAGCTCGGGTCGTCGACTCCTGAGTGGTGCGATTGACGAGATGTAAATTCCCAGGCGGGTATGACGCTGGCTCTCAGAGCACGCAGACGCCACCTTCCCATTATAGGGGAATCACTAGGCCACAGGGCAGCTATACATTGAGTCTCGTGCGGCCTCCACACCTCCGGCAAACTCGTAGCGTTGTACCTCCAGTTCCGCGTCGGCGTGTGGAGCGTGTCTCCCAGCTCGGTGGCCGGCCTGTAATGTCCTGCGGGCGGCAGGCGCTGCGCGAGTACGGCGCCCTGGAGAACTTCTGGCGTCGTTACAACACGGCGCTGCTGGACAAGACGGCCATGACGCTGCAACGTGCCGACCTGCGCGCCGAGAACCAGCAGCTGCAGCAGATGCTACGCGACTACATGGAGAACCTGCGGGCCGGCACTGTCACCAAGGCCGAGGGCATTCTGCCACAGGTGCGACAAGGGGCGCACGGCCTCACGATGTGATGTGCGTGCGTGCGTGCGTGCGTGCGTGCGTCCGTGAGTGTGCGTGCGTGCGTGCGTGCGTGCGTGCGTCCGTGAGTGCGTCCGTCCGTGAGTGTGCGTGCGTGCGTGCGTGCGTCCGTGAGTGTGCGTGCGTGCGTGCGTGGGTGCGTGCGTGCGTCCGGGAGTGTGCGTGCGTGCGTGCGTGCGTGCGTGCGTGCGCGCGCGCGCGTGTGTGTGTGTGCGTGCGTGCGTGCGTGTGCGCGCGCGCGCGTCAGAGGGACGTTCCAGACCAAATAATGAGATTCTGCCCATGGATGTTGGCTCCCTGGGTCTTCAGAATGTGCGGGGCGTCAGCTCGAGCATTTATTGGTGCGTGGACCTTCGGGGTCATGGGTACATCCATGCCGTCAGTGGACTTCGTTCTGATTTATAGCATGTCGAGTTGACATCTGTTTTACAGTAGTTTTTATTTTCGTGTACTTTGACTGTCCTTGGCAGCCCTCGCAGGGCCTTGGCCGTCAGTCCCCGCGCGGCCTCGGCTGTCGATCCCTGCACAGCCTCGGCTGTCAGTCCCCGCACGACTGAACCGATCCACTGCGCCGCGTGTCAGCAGTGGCAGGCGTCAGCAAACACTGACCGTTGACAAGGCGCCATCAAGCGGGCGCGGTGCCGGCCGGTACGCGCCGCCCGCCGCTGACCCTGTGGGCGTGAGACCGCGGCCGGTGACCGCCGTCTCGCCGGCAGACGCGGCAGTCCAGTCTGTCGGTGGTGGAGCCCGGCCGGCGTAGCAGCACGGCCAACATCATCGAGGCGGCCCACGTGGCCAAGAACCTGGTGCAGGCGTGCTCCATACTGCCGCCCTGCCGCTTCTGAGTGAGCCGCGCCAGACCGGCCGACGGCGCGGCCCGGCACCGCCTCCGGATATTTGGCTCCAGCGGGGCTGGCGGAGGTGTGCGGACCGCCTGGGGTACAGATGGCACCATGTGTGGCCTACCATGGGATAGGTGGCGCTGGTCGATCACGTGCTGCCAACGGTGGGCCGGTGGAGAGGGGGTGCGGGTGTGGAACTGGTAGTTTGTATGACTTTTTCCGACCGTTTCCCGCGCAGGAAGAAATCATTTCGTTGTATGGTTTTTGTACTGTCCTCTGTCTTTTTGCACTTCTTTTCTTTCCGTTGTTTGGTAGGTCTTTGTCGTATGAGAGGCAAATCATCTGAAAACTTGTTTATTAAATCAGGTTTTGTGCAAACAAAATCGGTAAACATCTAGTGCAATTACACAAACATAAAACAATCTGGCTATCTGCTACGTACTTGGGCGGAGGACAGCACTGATTCGCACATACCATATCTCGCAACACTCAGCCCGCGGCGCTCCACGCCTGCGCATCCCACCCCGGAGGCCAGCATCGCCCCAGCGGCGGCAGCCCGTCAAAAATAAAGCACCGACCGACCCGGCCGTGGCATCCCTGGTGGCGCGCAGCCCGAGTCAAAGAATGGGGCCGCCCCCCCCCCCCCCCGCGGCGCCCCGCGCGGGCCGCACCCCGAGCCGCCCGCGGACCTCGCGCTCTCGCGGCACACCAAGACGACGGCTAGAGAAGAGCGCCGCTCGCGGAGCGACGCGCGCCCGCGCACGGCGCGTGTCGGTGGGACAGGATGTCGAGTATCGAGAGCGCCGGCCGGTGCCGGCTACACCTTGACGATGTCCGCGTTGGCGTTGAGATCACTGACCGCAGACGTGCCGTTCAGCTTGGTCTTGGTGATGGTCTTGTTGGGCCCGTCCAGGTCCAGCCAGAGCTTCCACAGCACCGACTCCTTCTGCACCAGCTCCGGCACGGCGCCCAGCGACTGCCGAGCACAGACGAGTTCGTGGGTCAGGCGGGCGGCTAGCCGGGCACCGCGTGCCGGGCAATGCAGGCACGCGAGAGCACGCACCCGGATAGCGGCACCAGTGCAGATAAAAACAGCGCTTGACGAGGCTTGTGAACAAGCCATTGTACTGAACTGCACCAACAAAGACGAATCACCAATTACTTAGCTTCGTTATCGATGCCAGCGAACCGCAACTAGCGGCAGTTCTATCCAGAGCACAAAAATGACGGCAAAACCCCTGATGGGGCGCGGGTGGGCATAGCGAGCGCTTCACTTACGACGATGACGTAGTCAATAATCTCGTCCAGGGTTTGTATCTCCGACTCGGCCTTCTGCACGTTCTCTGTGAGTATCTGCTTGTGCTTAGTGTACTTCTGCTTGAGCTCCTCCAGCTGGCGATCCTTCTTCTGCAGCTCCTGTCGCAAGCTCGCGGTCTGTGGAAGCGACGCAGGTCAGGTCAACAACCGTGCCACATGAAATACTTGCATCCGTTTATTGCTGCACAACCAACTCACACTGGGGTTTATCGGGAAGATCGGTCATGACCTCGAGGTATTGTGTGCGTGTGCTTCCCACGCCTGCTGTGACGCCACGCCCCCTCCCCCATGACGCACACGCACGCCGGTCTCGCTCGGCCCACCTCGTTGTCGGCGGTGTGCGACTGTTGTCTGCGCAGCTCGACGTTCTCCGCCTCCAGCTGCGCCAGCCGCTCGCGCAGCTCGGCCTCCGAGTCGCTGTTGGAGCCGGCCGTCCTGCGATCAAGACAGCGGTCTGAGAACCACCGAACGCCATCCGACTGCTCCCTCAGCGCTTCCATGACATGTGGGGGGACGGGGACGGGAAAGAAAGGGGAGGACCACACGTTGATCAATGTGAGCGCAGGACACAATCGGTACCGCACTTGGTGACTCCGAGGCAGAGCGGCCTGTAGGTGCCCCTGTTCCACCCCAACGAGCTGGCACTCGTCTGTACGGGTGTCTCACCTGTCTGGCTGCGCGCCGTCTCCGGCCGCCGCGTCGGCGTCGGCGGCGTAGGCGGAGGACGCGGCGCGGATGAGCCGCTCGACCAGCGTGTCCACCTGCTGCACCTGCTCGTCGAGCCCGGCGCCGTCGGCGGCCTCGCCGCGCTCGGCGCTCTCCTCGCCCTCAGGCGAGTCGCGCCCCTCCAGCAGGTGGCGCACGGCCAGCTCCTGGAGGCTGTCGCCGCCGGCCAGCGGCGGCCGCTCGTCGGCGATCGTCTCGCCGGCGGGAAGGTCGAGCGCGCGCACCATCTGCGAGAGCGAGCGCGGCGGCGCGGCCAGCGCCGACACCAGCGAGGCGGTGCGCCGCGGCGGCGGTTGGCCGCCGTCCGCCAGCCGCGCCGGCACGGAGCGCGCGTGCGGCAGCTCCAGATCTCGCAGCAAGTGCGCCGGCAGCAGGTGGCGCAGCGCCGCCTCCAGCCGGGCGGCCAGCTCGCTGAGCGCCACCGACGCGCCGCTCACGCCCGCCCCCTGGCACAGCAGCAGCTCCTTGGTGCGGCTCTGCACGTGCCGCAGCTCCGCCTTCAGGGTCAGCATCTCTTCCCTGGCGGCGCGTTCGGACGGTATGAGGGGCGTCTGGACCGGGACCGGGCCTCAGTATAGCCTCACTGCTCCAGTCCGTGGCGGCAGCCGCCACGGCAGTAGCATGACGAGAGTGCAATCAGACTACGGAGCACGGGGGAAGGCTACGACTTGGTGAAATCATGCATACAGGCAGCGAGAGGTGGTTCACTCCAACACACGGCTCCCAGCCGGCCGCCGAGAAAGGCCGCTCGCCCGGCGCCTCTACAAAAACATAACGCGATATTGGTTCACTTGCCGCAGCCATGCCATCCCGGACACACAGAGTTTGGGCCTTTCCCAATTGGTGTCGAAGGTTATTCTATTTTCGGAAAAATAGCACGAAGCTCCACAAGGCACCGAGCCGTAGAGGCCAGCCACGCAACGAAAGCGGACAGGGGACGGATATTAACGACGACCCAGGTGTCACCACCACGCCTGCAAAAAACGTAACGAGATACTCCATCCATTTATCCGGGTCACGCAACTCCGGTCACAACGGAATACTACCGACCGGTCGCGTGAAGCATGGCGCCTCAGTTACAGTCGGCAACAGCGGGGGGGGGGGGGGGGGGCTTCACAGCTTACACGGGGGAGGGGCGAGTAGGGCTTCACGAGGTGCGGTACTGCGCAGTGACCACTGCTGAGGACGCGATCAGTGCCCACACATGTGTCAACACCTGCGCAGCGATGACTCAACATCACCCGACCTGCAGCGAGCTCGCAGACAAAAAAAAAAGATCGAGCAGCGCAGCGGGTGACGCGCCCAGCGATACGGGGGAGGGAGGGCCGCACTGATGACCGAAGACGGGGAACTACGCCTCCGGCCAGCCAGCCACGGCGCTAGGACTACCGCCGCAGCCTCAGCCCGAAGGCGTCGTCTGGCCAGTCGGCCCGGGGCGCTCCGCTCGGCGGCGGGGTCACTTACGCTCGCTGTTCGGCCAGTCGGGTCAGCTGGCAGCAGCGTTCGTCCTTCTCTCGGAGCGCGTCCTCGCCGGCGGCGGCTGCCGTCCGCAGGCCGGCCACCTGCCGACCGGGCTCTCCAGGTCACGTCCCGGTCTCGGCCACCGCCGCTCGGCGGCCGGGCTCGGCCGGCCCCGGCCGAGCCCGGCCGCCGAGCCCCGGTCGCGTCTCAATGCGTTGCTGTGGTTCGACATGACTCAGTTCGTTGCTGTGGTCCAACATGATGTCTCAGTTCGTGGCTGTAGTCCAACACGGTACATCAGTTCGTTGTTGTGGTCCAACATGACGTCCCAGTTCGTCGCTGTGGTCCAACATGAGACCTCGGTATGGCTGTAGATCGGTGTCCAGGACGCCAAGACAGGAGAGGGTTGGCTCACAGTCCCACGTCTCTGGACCACTGATTTAAGTGGATTACCAGGCGCACGTCTCGCACGCTCGAGCCACAGTATTTGCGTGCCGTCCGGCTGGCGCACCATCGGCGTGAGAACTGCCAACACCGCTGCAGGAGGCCGCCGCGCCTCGCGGCAGGCGCCGGACCCCGCGGACGGCGGCGGGCTGACCTCGGTCAGCGCCGCCGTGCAGTCCCGCCCGTTGCAGGCGCCGCCGTCAGTCCGTGTCCATTGTCGGGAGTCGGCACACAGCGGGGGCGTTTCAGCCCGGCCGTCCGCGCGCCCAACAAAAAAACGGCAGGGTCAGCACGGCTCCTGGCCGACGCCAGAGGGCGGCCACACAGTGTGGGTCGCCGAGGGAACAGTGCTCAGAACGTTACATAATCGCAAGCCACCATTGTCCGGTACAGGGCATGCAGGGCGGTGCACGCTGCCGATGTTTTAGCTGTCCATAGCGGGGAGCACGCGGTGAACAACAGCGGATCAGGTCGCTCGTGTCTGGTCGCATCACTGTTATTGTCAGCCACCCGGCGTCGCTGGTTAGTCGCCCGGCACCCGTCCAGCGCATGCGCAGTCTGTCAGTCCCGTTCCCCGCCCTCACCTCATTCTCCGCCTCCCTGAGTGCATCAACCAGTGCGTTTTTCTCCAGTTGCATGAACTCGTGCAGTTCGAAGGACTCGGCCTCGGTTTCCTGTACCTGCTGCAGGAGCGTCTTCTGCGCCGCCACAGACTTCTCCAGATCCTGACGCCAGGCCGAGGCCGGGTCAGCACAGGTCATCGGCACACTGCTCGCTGCGGGGCCATCGACCCCCGGCAGACGATTGGCCCGCATCGACACCACGGTCCGGCTGCGACAGTGACTCATGGCTGCCGCGCGGGGCTGACCCTGCTTACCCGGATCATTTCCCGCGCTGAGTCAGTCGGCACATCGCTGAACCATTGCTGAACCGCGCCGACGCTATCGCGTGTCTGCGGCGCCTTTTCCTGATTCGCTCCCTTGCGATCCGCAGCTCGGTAGAAAATCATCCAGGGCGCCTACACCTGCACTGCGACCGTGCAGGGTCTTCGGCGCGGTTTAGTAACGAGGTCACTGATGTGCTCGGCAACTCGTCTACATTCCCTGACACTGCTGTCCTCCCTACGCACACACACCCACTCTCACGCAGCGGACGCCCTACAGTGCCGCTCACCTCTGACAGCCGGCGGGCGGTGGCCTCGGAGCGGTCGAGCTGGTGCTGCAGCTGTTCGGCGGCGGCGTCGGCGCCCTGAGCGCGCTGCTCGGCGCGCAGCAGGCTGTCCTGGTGCTGCTGCAGTTCCAGCTCCACGCCCTCCATGCGCGACATCATCTCCTGCACGCGCACGGTGGTGCGGCCCAGCTCCTCCTGCACCTCCAGCTTGTCGGCGCGCTCCTCCTCCAGTTGGCGGCGCGCAGCGGCCAGCTCCATCTGTCGGCGGCGGCGCGCACTTGAAGCGGGGCGGCCGATCACGGAGGTCTCCGGCGTCCATTCGTCCCCGCGCCAGCCGCGGGATGCTACATGGTGGGGAGGACTCGCACGTGTGGGAACGACCAGACCTCTACGGTGCACGGCCAAAATGGCCGCCGTTTGCTACGGCAAACCTTTCACGCGCTTAACCACGAGCGTAGAGACAAGTTCGCAGTCAGAATGTGGCGAAGAGCCACGGGACCCAGACGGCGGGTGTATGTGACGCGGCGACATCAAGACGAGACAGGGATCTGGCCAGACGGCCAGACGGCCGTGACCAACAGACAAGAACGGCCCAGACAATGAGACCAGGCCGGCACACCAGCCCCACACGAGGCCTTCATCAGGCCGCCGCCAGATTTCGTCTCCTCAATTACGCCCCGCGCCGCCGCGGTGTCCGGGGCTAACGACGTCCCGCCCGGCCGTCCACGCCCCCCTGCCGGCCGGCCGGGCGGGCCGCCGGCGCGGCTGAACGCGACGCCGGCGGCGGAGGTCGTTCTGCGCAGTCACGGCCGCAATCACCGGCGCTGCCGGGTCCCACGCGGCGGCCGCGACCGTTCGTGTTCATCGGGGACAGTCACGCGGCAACCAACACGGCCTCGGGCAGCGCCGTCCCGCCCAGCCGCGACAGGCTGTTGATAAAGCCGGGCGCTGAGTATAAACACGCGCCAGCGGCCAGCCATCGCTCCGCCGATGATGTGACGTGCCGTTAGTGTCGACAGCAGAGAACCGTGTTTACCAAAATCGATTACGGGCTGGTGGAATCAGTCATTTCAGCGGAGAGGTGGGATGTAATTGACACCGTTGGAGCTGTAAATTTTACTCGATTTTCTCATGAATCTTTAAACGGTTAATGTCATTTTCCATTATCGTTTTGGCTCGCCCTCCAGCGAGTAGCATTTATGTTAAACGCCCGCCTGAAGTCCTGGACACCAAATGTCATCGAGCACGCGCCAGCAGCACAGCATGCCGCAGTGGCGCGCCTCTCCATTATTCCGCCGTCGCCTCGCGGCCAAAGGCGCCTTCGAGAGCCGGGCACTATCAGCTGCAGCACATCAAAGCCTGCCACTCAGTACCGGCTCTGTGGGACTTCGGCGACGCGTGCCAACGTCTTAGTCACGAATCTCAGCCGCCGGTATGGATTAGCGACGGGCCCGGGCAGCCCTCTCGCCCCCTCCTTCCCCCCTCCCCCCCCCCCCCCTCCCGCCGCGTAACGTCGCCGCCCGTGCAATTACTGCTGGCCGTCGGCAGCCGACGCCCGCCATCGACCTGGCGGAGGCGGTGGAGGCCAGCCACGTCCGCCACGTCCCCTCCCCCACACAGTCGGCACTGACGCCGACGCAGCGACGATTCTTCTGACCCAGTCAGGTCGGGTCAGGTTGGGTCAAGTTAGGTCAGGTTAGGTCACGTCGGTAGGGGACGTAAGCCCTCTCTAATCCCGGTCAGGACGGATCGGGTCAGCCATTTTCCCTCCCTTTCAGGCTCAGGTCAGGTCAGATCGGGGGAACCCTCCCGCCCCCTGCCAGTCCGGGAGGACCCAGCCCCGCACGCCCCGCTCAGCCTCGCTGGCTGCTTCCCCGCCGCACCCGGTCTATCGCCCCTTTCCCGGCACGCGGCCCGACCGCGCCCCTCGCGGCGCCACCCCTGCCCGCGGGCGACTTCACAGTATTGATCTGTGCCCCCACGTGGTGCGGCGCCGTGGCGTCCGGGCGCCGACGGATGAGCGGGCGCGCCGCTCTGACAGCCGGCGGCGGCGCGACCGTGACCGGAGGGCGGCGCGCGCCAACTGGCCACCTCATCATTCTCCGGCAGACGCTGCCGACGACCAGGAGGACGGCGTCTGTCCCCTCCCTCCTCCCCCGAACACCCACCGGGCCGGCCAGCCCGCAGCGCCGACGGCACTACATTTCGCACCGGGAAACGAACTGCGCGCGGAGCACCGTGACGCAAATACCTAAGTCAATTACCGGCGTAATGGACAAACATCCGCCGGGCACCCGCGGCGCTGTCGGAAGCCCGCCGTAAATGAATTAAGGCCCGGACCAGCGCCAGCGCACTTCTGTCGGCGACAGCTGTAATTCCCCGCCGGCGGCGCGGGACAAGCGTCCGGCCGACGGCGCGGCGGGCCAGCGTGACGGATGGCGGCGGGGTCCCAGCTGCAGCTGCTGCAGCTGGTCCAGCCTCACCTGCAGCTGCTGCAGCTGGCCCAGCCTCACCTGCAGCTGCTGCAGCTGGCCCAGCCTCACCTGCAGCTGCTGCAGCTGGCCCAGCCTCACCTGCAGCAGCTGCAGCTGGCCCAGCCTCACCTGCAGCTGCTGCAGCTGCTCCAGCCTTGCCTAAAGCTAGTCCACTTTCACCTACAGCTGCTGCAGCTGGTACGGCCTCACCTGCAGCCGCTGCAGCTGGTCCAGCCTTACCTGCAGCTGCTGCAGCTGGTCCAGCCTCACATACTTCCGCTGCAGATGGTCCAGCCTCACCTGCAGTTGCTGCAGCTGGTCCAGCCTTACCTGCAACTGCTGCAGCTGGTCCAGCGCCTGGCGGGCGCGCTGCGCCTCGGTCTGCAGGCGCGCCAGCTCGGCCGCCTGCTGCGTTTCGCGCGGCGACGCGATCTCCGCCTGGCAGGCGGTCTCGTGCCGGTCGACCGGCGGCCGCGGCCGCAGGCTGGCCGCGCTCAAGTCGCCGCCGGTCAGCACCGTCTGGCACGCTGTCTCCAGGCAGATCAGGGTGCGTTCGCGCGCCTTGCCGCCGGCCGGCGCGGCGGCCCGGGCGACAGGACGGGCGGCCGTGCGCACGGCCGCCGGTCGCCGCACCGCCGCAGCGCCGGGCGCCGCGCGGGGATTCGGTCGGGGTGGCGCCGCGGCCGATCGGGCAGCGGGCGGTGAGGGCTTCGGCGGTGGGTCGGGTTTGGCCGCCGGCGCCGGCGGCGGCGTCTTCTTGCGGCGGCCGAGCGTGGCGAATGTGTCGGCGCTGCGCTTCAGCTCTTCCGATGTGAACGTCGCTGACTTGGAGATGGCCGCCGCCGCCTCGGACGTTTTCGGCTCCTTCTTCTTCCTCGTGAGCGTGCCGTACTTGTCGGCGCTCTTCTTCAGCTCGGCGGCGGCGTCCGGCGGTGTCTTTCTCCGCCGGCCCAGCGTGCCGTAGCTGGCGCCGTCACCCCCGCCGATGTCTGACGCCTCCGGCGCCGACTCGGACTTCTTCAGCTCCGCCACTTTCTTGTCTAGCGGTTTCCTCTTGAGCGAGAGCGCTGGCTTGGCGCTGGCCGGTTTCGCAGCGACGTCGCGCTTCTTGGTGATCTCTGACACGGCCGGCAGATCCTCCCTCTTGGACGTGTCGGCGGGCAGCGGCTTCTTACCCTTGCTGCGCGGCAGCGTGCCGTAGTTGGTGAGCGTACGCTTCTCCTCTCGCGTGGCAGACGCGGGCCGGGTCTTCGCCAGGTCGACCTTAGCGCGTGCCGACAGCGAGCCGCGCGGACTGACCTTGGGCGGGCGCCGCGCCGACGCCGCCAAGCCGTCGCGGCTGCTGCGCGGCGGGCTTGACCGGTCCGACGAGACGCTCTCCGGCTCGTCGCTCCTCGACTCCACACTCTCATCGATTTTCAGCACCGGAAGGGGCGCGCTGTCGACGGCTGCGGCGGCGGCCGCGCCCCACAGCCGGTCGCTCCGCGCGTCGTGCGGGCGGCCGTCCTCGCCGGCGGCCGCGGCCGGCTCGGCGGCCTGCTCCGCCGTCATGGTCGACGGCAGCACGATGCCGACCAGACTGACGGGTCCCGAAATCTCTGACGACGGCTCGACCGGGCTCACCAGGCTGATGGAGCCGGAGCCGGCCGGCTCGGCGCCGCCGGCCGGCACCGCTGACTGCACCGGGTCGGACGCACCAGTCGCGCTGCTGGGCGGCGCTGGCTTGCTGGGGTCTGTGGGGGCGACTGCCGGCTCTGCCGCGCTCGGACCCGCCGAGCTCACACGGTCCGTCGGTGCGGCATGGCTCACCGGACTCGCGGTCTCCACAGGCGCCGCGGGCGCGCACACGCCGACTCCGGCGCCCCACACGTCCACCACGGGCGCGGGCGGCGGCGGCTCCGGGGGCGCGTCGGGCGTGGACATGGCCGCCGACTTCGCGCCGTTCCCCGACGCTGTCGACTCGCCGGCAGTCGGCGCGTCACTGACGGTCGGTGCGGCCGGGGCGGCGGCGTCGGCGTCGGCGCGCGGCGGCCGGCAGCGGCCCGGTGGCGCCTCCTGCGCCGCCTCCGTCTCGTCCTCCTCGGTGAGGCTCTCGAGCCGGCGCGCGCCCTGCTGCAGCGAGCTGAGCACCGCCGACGACACCTGCAGGTAGCTCACGCCGCCGCCGCTCACACACTGGCGCATGTCCGAGAACAGCTGCACGTGAGCGCCGCCGCCACCGCTGCCGACGCCGGCGGCGGTCGGTGGCGCCGCCTCGTCCATGAGAAAGAACTCACTGAACCGATCCGGGTCGACGAGTTTCACCGGCGCTTCGTCGTCATCGGGCGTGCAGTAGCTGTGCTCGATCGTCACGTGGCCGACCGTCATGCTGGGTCCGCGCGGCCCGTTCTGGATGTAAATCTCCTCAGTGTCCTTGACCTCGCCGTTGAAGGCGAACTCGTCGTCGCTGTCGTCGCCAACAATCACCTCCGACTCGACGAGATCGTCGAGCGCGGCGGCCGGCTCCAGCGCGTGCAGGTTCTCGGCCGAGAGCGAGAGGCCGGGCGACGGCCGAGACGCCGCCACCTCCGCCATCACGCGGCTGGAAGAGCAGGTCACCGCGTCAGTCGTCACGGCGGTTACCGGCCGCGAGCGGGGGCGGTGCACGTGGTCAGACACGTCGCACAGGTGCGCTCTGCGCATGCACGGTGGTAAACATCGGTCCGCCCAAGTCATTGCTAGTTCGTTAAACTGACCCCCGCAGTGGTACACACGCATATACTGATGTCACGAAGTGTTCGGGCGTTTGTTCCGCCAGCAACCGGCCGTCAACAATGACGCAGATCATTCCACACCTCAAGATGTCATTTTCGTTAGTTGTTTGAGAGATCCGGCGGAATGAAGCCATTCGGAACGGTTGATTGCCAATTTGCTACGATAATTTCCGTGACCACGCAGCTACTATTTGACATTCGTTTCCGAATATATTGGCGGTCAGACAGACGGGCGCCGCGCATGATCTGAGGGAGCGATCAATCATCACACGGGGGTCTCGACAACCGCGTGATTGCCTACCGCTGTCTCTTAGGAAATGTGTTTCTCTTTGTCTAGCGACCTGATCCATTTTCGGCCAAGCTTTGAGCCCCTGTTTCTTTTTTTTCTAACGAACTGCCGTGCGAATTTTCATTTAGCTGATAACAGCGAGACATGGAGATTTGGTTCGGGGGAAAACTTCCTCCCGTCATCGCAAATGCGACGCTCTCTGTGAGTGGTGGCCGATAACGAAGGCTGGGATTGGAGAGTGTGGGGGACGTTATTGTAGCGACCTCACGTCGGGATGATGATGCTGAACTACTTTCAGCGGGGTCCGAGGACAAAAAGGGCCATGGCCAGCCAGCAGACGAATCTGAAGACACGACGCCGGCTTCATTTCAATTCAACCAGGGTTGTGTAGCTCTAAGGACGAAGCAGAACAGATTCAACACGTCACGCACCGCATGCAGCTGCCCACCTCCAACACTTCCTTCTTACCCGCCCGCGAATTTGAGCCAATGTGCTGCTGAATACGCCATATTTCTAACAGACCGACGCCTCACGCATTAGCAGACCAAATCGCAGCGAAAGCGAAAACATCCAGATCACGCTGCGACGAGTCGAATTTGTCATGGCCAGTTGGACGCGGCGGAATCGCTGATTGTGGCGCGCGTAATTGGCGGGAAACGACGTCACAAGACGTCGGGCCGGCACGCGTCTGCATACATTTCCCGCCAAAATAACCGACAATTAAGAGAAAACCGGGCGGCACCGTGCCATTACCACCGCAACTCTCGCCGAGCAAATAGGCACGAGTGGTCACTTCCAGCAGAACAAGGTGAAATCCTCACACGCCCCGATTATCGGCCCCTGAAATAGCTACAAATCCAATGAGAAAATTGGCCCATTGGCCCATTGCATCGGCCGAATCGCTGGCGTTCGTGCATCAAATCCTGAGGCGCGTGCCGCACCGCGCCGCGCCGCCTGCCCCGCGGACGTAGAAACTCGGGCGCGCGCTGGGAAAGGCGACACGTCGTCCGCAAGGCCGGCTGAGGACGGAGCCGAACGCGGCGGCGGCGAGCGCGTCCTACGCCGGCGGCGGCGGTGCTTCCGAGGCGCTGTTACACGTCACCCCCGGCCAAATTACACACGCAGCACGGCAGCTTCGGGCGACTCGCTCTGAGGTGTTGCTCTGACCATAACGGCCACCTTGTTCTATGGCCATGTGTAATTTTACCGCTTGTAACGTGCCCACACCCAGGCGCAGCCGCTGGGCCGTTCATGCCTCAGGTTCCCACCGCCCCTGATCGACGTTCTGTGTGTCGGAGGGAAGCGGCATTCCGGGACGCTGGGGGCGGAGGGTGTCGCGCGGCACATCCGTCCACGAGGAATGCCCTGATCGAGCCGTCCCTATCCCGAAGCCTAATTAGATAACACGGGGGGAGCGACAAAAGCGAGCAGCGGCTTAGCCGTAGCGGGGGCGAGGGTCGCGAGGCTGGCACCGGCCGATATGAGGCCGCGGCGAGGGCGAGGGCGAGGGCGAGGGCGAGGGCGAGGCTCGTTCGGGACCCGGAGGCGGAGGAGCGCCACCGATCCGCCGCCGAGCTGGGGCGCCGTCGGCCCAGCGACCGGCAGCGCTGCTGGACGGCGGCGGGCGGGCGCGACAGCCGCATCGATTCAGCCCGGCCCTGGCAGCCGCCGCCGGCTCCGATCAGCTGACCATCGATCGGCGCCACGTGACGCCGCCGGCAGACAGGTCACGTGACCGGCCCGCGGACGTGGGAAGCCGGGCGGCGAGACGGAGGAGACCGTGACCCCTGGCGAGCCACTGGTCTGCCGGAGATGGAGTCAGCATGCGAGACGGAGGAGAACGCGACCCTGGCGAGCCACTGGCGTGCCGGAGATGGAGTGGGCATGCGAGACAGAGGCGATCGTGACCCCTGGCGAGCCACTGGTGTGTCGGAGATGGAGTCGGCATGCGAGACAGAGGAGACCGTGACCCCTGGCGAGCCACTGGTCTGCCGGAGATACGATCGGCATGCGAGGCGGAGACCGCCACCTGCAGCCATAGCCGCAGAGCGGATAGAGAAGCTCAAGGCACGATGCAGCCAGTGAAGCGATAAAGCCTGGTGTTTAGGGCGCATCGAAATCGGAGGTCATGTTGCGCTCATTCGCCACGGGAATGACAGGAAACGAATGCGTGCCTTTGCAGCCCTCCGTACGGACGCGGGGCTTTTCCACTGGCTGACCTCACTTGCCTACAGTTCATCACGATTCAGTGATATAAACCAGTACCTCCGCGCCCCGGGCCCTTTACTCCAGTGCCCCAGACCGTCGGAGCAGGCATCAAGTCGATATGGGCGCAAGGCAAGGGTCAAAGAGCATATCAGATGTTAATAAACACGACGGCCGTGTGCAAGTTTGGGCAGCAACAAGTTCCACGGCCTTCTGCTGTTCGCAA